TGCTACAATTATGGAAAACCAGGTCATATGGCTAAGAAATGTAAGAGCGGGCCTAAATCTGCTACTGGCCCAAATGCACAGGTTAACCTGACTGATGAGCAATTCATTGCTATGATCACTGAAGTCAACATGGTTGATGGAAGTGATGGTTGGTGGATAGACACTGGCGCCTCTCGTCATGTTTGTAATGATCGTGCTATGTTTAAGACATACATGAATACTGAAGATAAGAAAGTGTTGTTGGGAGATGCCCACACCACTAATGTTGCTGGAATTGGAGATGTTGAGCTGAAGTTCACTTCAGGAAAGACCTTGATCTTGAAGGACGTCATGCACGTTCCTGAAATTAGGAAGAATCTTATTTCTGGTTTCCTTTTAAATAAGGTTGGGTTTAGTCAAACTATAGGGGCAGATTTGTACACCATCACTAAGAATGGTATTTTTGTTGGGAAAGGGTACGCCACTGATGGCATGTTTAAGTTAAATGTTGATTTGAATAAAATTTGTCCTTCTGTTTATTTTTTGCATGATTTTAATATTTGGCATGCTAGACTTTGTCACGTTAATAAGCGAATTATGTATAATGCAAGCAACTTAGGCCTGATCCCTAAACTAAATGTCAATGATTCAAATAAATATGAATATTGTACTCAAGCTAAGATAATTAAGACATCACATAAATCAACTCTAAGAGAATCTGATCCCCTAGATCTTATACACTCTGATATATGTGAATTAGACGGAACTTTGACTATGAACAATAAACGTTATTTTATCACCTTTATTGATGATTGTTCTGATTATACTTATGTATACTTAATGAAGAATAAAAGTGAAGCACTTGATATGTTTAAGTTGTATGTAATCGAAATTGAGAATCAACTTAGTAAGAAGATAAAGAGACTTCGTAGTGATAGGGGAACTGAATATGACTCTGGTCTATTTAATGACTTTTATAAAGAACGTGGAATTATACATGAAACGACTGCTCCATATTCTCCTGAAATGAATGGTAAAGCAGAAAGAAAGAATAGAACTCTTACTGAACTTGTTGTTGCAATTATGATGAATTCTGGTGCTGCACCTCACTGGTGGGGGGAAATTTTATTGATTGTTTGCTATGTCCTTAATAGAATCCCCAAGTCAAAATTTAAGATCTCTGCTTACGAGATATTAAAGAAAAGACAACCAAACTTGTCTTATTTGAGAACTTGGGGCTCTCTGGCTTATGTCAGAATTCCGGATCCGAAGCGAGTTAAACTCGCTAGTAGAGCATATGAATGTGTTTTCATTGGATATGCAGCAAACAGTAAAGCATATAAGTTTTATGACCTAATAGCAAAAGTGATCATATAATCAAATGATGTTGAATTCTATGAAGACAAATTTCCCTTCAAATTGAGAAATAGTGGGGGCACACAATCGAGTCACACTCTTGTGATAAGAAGCACAGAATGCAACGACAATATAGAAACAGATAAGAGTCACTAAAGACTACGGGCCTGACTATGCGGCTTATAATATAGAAGAAGATCCAATGAATCTTCAAGAAGCCTTGTCTTCTCTGAATGCTGATTTATGGCAAGAGGCTATCAATGATGAGATAGAATCTCTAGAATCCAATAAGACCTGGAACTTAGTAGACTTGCCTCCTGGTTGCAAACCAATTGGTTGTAAATGGGTTTTGAAAAGAAAACTAAAACCTGATGGAACTATTGATAAATACAAGGCTCGTCTTGTTGCCAAGGGTTTTAGACAAAGAGAAAATATAGATTTCTTCGACACATTTTCTCCTGTCACTAGAATTACATCCATTAGGGTACTTATTTCAATAGCTGCTATTTATAACTTAATAGTACACCAAATGGATGTAAAAACAGCTTTTTTAAATGGTGATTTAGAAGAAGAAATCTATATGGAACAACCGGAAGGGTTTGTAATCTATGGACAAGAAAACAAGGTCTGTAAGTTAAATAAGTCGTTGTATGGACTAAAACAAGCTCCTAAGCAATGGCATGAAAAATTTGATAACTTAATGATATCAAGTGGGTACAAAGTGAATGAAAGTGACAAATGCGTTTACTACAAATCTGAGAATCGCATTTTCACTATCATATGTCTTTATATTGACGATCTACTCATATTTGGATCTAACATTCAGACCATTAATGATGTGAAATCATTGTTGTGCAACAACTTTGATATGAAAGATCTCGGAGAAGCAAATGTGATCCTTGGCATTAAGATCACGAGATCCGAACAAGGAATTTCTTTGGATCAATCACATTATGTGGAGAAGATCTTAAAGAAATATAATTACTTTGAATGTAAACCTGCATGCACACCATATGATCCAAGTGTGAAACTATTTAAGAACACTGGAGAAAGTGTCAGACAATCAGAATATGCGAGCATGATTGGCAGTCTTAGGTATGCCACTGATTGTACTAGACCCGACATTGCATATGTCGTAGAATTGTTATGCAGGTTTACGAGTAGACTGAGTAAAGAGCACTGGAAAGCTATTGAACGAGTTATGAGGTACCTCAAAAGGACCATGGATCTCGGTCTACATTATCAGAAGTTTCCTGCTGTACTAGAAGGGTACAGTGATGCAGATTGGAATACTTTGTCAGATGATTCCAAAGCTACTAGTGGCTAAGAAACAAACTATTCTAGATCAGTCCACAATGGAATCTGAGATGATAGCACTAGCCACAACTAGTGAAGAAGCAAGTTGGTTGAGATGCTTGCTAGCTGAGATCCCTTTATGGGAAAAACCTATGCCAGTTGTGTTGATCCACTGTAAGACGTCAAATAAGAAGGAAGCACAGCACTGTTAGAGACTGTATCTCTAAAGGAGCTGTAAGAGTGGATCATATACGCACTGATGAAAATTTAGCAGATCCTTTGACGAAAGGATTATCTAGAGAGAAAGTCCATAATACATCCAAAAGGATGGGACTAATGCCTATAAAGAAATGAGTTGCTCATAATGGTAACCCGACCTAGATGACTGAAGATCCCAAGAAATAGGTTCAATGGGTAATAACAAGTTATGAGTAATATGAGATGATCATGCAAGTAAAGCATGAATCCTAAAGTAATAAGAGGATGAGATAATAGAAACTCTTAATGAGATCTATACTTTGTATGAGGGAGTACCTAGGCTACAGGAATACTCTTGATAGACTCACCTATGTGATTGTGGAACTTAGGCCGGTTCCTATGGAATTATGAGGCAGGATTACTAGAGCCTTCACTAAACCGGGATATACGTGCAGGGCCATTAAAGCACGGGCTATTAGAATACACCTTAAGAAAAGGTTGTGTGCGGGTCTGATGTATGAGATAGAGTTCAAGACAATAGTGTCACTCTTGCTGAATCAGAATCCTACTTACTACGCAAAGGTTCAAGTCGTAGACACCTTTGCTTATGCACAATCTTAGAAACGTTTGACGTACTTCTAAAATCACCTTTTAAATTCAAGTGGGGGATTATTGGAAATCTCGGTATGATGTAAATATTGGAGTGGGAGTTGGAATATTTTATTGACATTAAATGGGCAATAAATGAGCACAAGTAAGAACTAGTATGGAAGTGAATTTGAAAAGATTCATTTTAGTCCCACATAGGAGGGATCATAAATACTAGTAGTGTATATATATATTCCAACTTGTACAATTGGGTTGGGCCCCAAGGGGCACCCCAATTTTGTAAAGGAGTGAGGACACACCCATAAGTCATCTAGACACACGCGCGCGCCGCCGCCGCCGTCCGTCCGACCGGCTCGGTCCGGTCCGGTTTAGATGAATTAATCTTTTTTGAACCGAATTAGTGAAAATTAATTAATTAATATTAATATTATTATTAATTAATTAATAGATGGTGACGTGTCCTGCACAAAAGACTAAGTCTTAACCTAATTATTGACTGGTTTTTGCTTGCCCTCCAAGACTGACCAAGTAAAATAACGGCCACCTTTGACTGGGCCAATTCCACCTCTCCCACGATTCTCTCCCACTAGACCTGTTCCATTCAGTTGGACCTTTTCACTTATAAATTAAGTTGTTTCGGTTCATTTGGGCAGTTCCAGATTTCACTACTACAATTCTCTCTTCTCTCTCATTACTCCCTTCATCTATATTTTTCTTCTCTCTTATTTTCGACTGGATCACTTCGTATCCAGATACTAAGACTGGTTAACTACCATCTGAAGGTGTCATTTTACGAACGACTAATTATAGTGCAAGTAATTATCGTCATTTGAACGGGCTGTTTTATCCTGGAGGCATCGTCGAAACTCGATTGCTTTGCATTAATATTGGCAGTACGACGAAACGTCTTAAAGAAAGCGACCTAGTACGCGACTCGTCCCGATAGTTTTCCTTTGTGCCATTTTCTTTAAATCCGGTTTCTACAATAACTATTAAAATTGTATATATATTTCGTATATTATCTTTTATAAAGTTAATTTAAATATTCAGAATTCATAACTGTTAAAATTGTATATATATTTCGTATATCATCTTTTATAACTCACATTTTTCATTACATCTGCAGAATTCACTTCTTTAGTATCTCTGCTCTGTAGCCTGTTATTATTTGTTCCAGACAATTAAAACTATATTTAAATATGTTTTATCATAAAGGAAGAATTTATTTTTTATTTTTGTATGAATCAAAATTAAATTGCCTAGGATAATCGTCATTGTCAAGTGCAAATCTAATATGTGTTTGTATTCCAAACAGTCAAACATAACATAAATGTATAAATGAATATGAAGAAGAGGCAATGGATTAAAACAATATAAAAATGGCAGGAGATATGTAATCAGAGACATAGAAAACTTGTCAAATACAATTTGAAGTGAGAGATTAAAAAGCAAAGTCGAGTACCTAAGCACTTGCTCATTGAAGCTGAATGTGAATGCTGCAAGGTGTTATACAATGAAGATCCAGGCAGCCTCTTACTTTCTTGAAAGCTTAAACTTCAGCTTCATGGCTTGTGAGGTTTGAACCTAAGAACTCTAAGAACATAGCCCCGAGCTAGCTTCAATACATAAACAGTACCCAACACCCCCTGGCCCATCAAAGCAAACCAACCTGTCATGCTTGAAGTTGGTCTGTTTCAAGTGAACAAAAAAAAAGCAGCAGTAGGCAGGCACCTACCCAACCACCAAAAAGAGATGGTTCAAGGGGCTACTAAGCTACCAGTCTCACACAACCTGTTAAGGTTTAGTCATGTTCCATCACCTTGGTGCCCCCACATGGGTACCAGCTAAAAAGCTATAACCCATCTGAGAATTTTCAGTCAACCTTGTAACACCAAATTCAGCAACTTTTGCCTCATAATCTTCATCAAGCAAGCCATCATCTTATTCCTCTTATTCCAATCCCATGAAACCTTCTCATCTTTTATATTTCTATCAACAACTTCAAAAAGATTATCATTTGGCATATACTTTAAAAATAGCCAGCATACCATCACCTTCCTCTAGTTGCTTCACAGCCACTACCATCCCGTTTTTCTTCAATACGACCCGATAAACCTTTCCGGTACCACCATGGCCAATGAAATTATCTCCATCGAAATGACTATTTCATCAGCATCGATATCCATTTTTGACAATTTTGTAACTCTTTTGCTCTTCGAATCCTTATGCTTCTAGAGATCAAAACTGCGGCGATGAAGATAACAACAATGACCAAGAGCATTACATTTTTATAACCAAAGAGAATTCTTCTACGAACATGATCTTTATCACAATTTATTTAACTTTTTGGAATTTTCTCAGCACATGAACCTTTGTTTCCAATAAAAACCGCAGTGTGGATGTTGAGCATTTTGATTCAGTCATATCTAAAACACTTTGACTAGGCCTCTATTTGAGCATGATATGATATCTCAAAGTAGTTTATTGAAGTAGATAAGCTTCAATATATCATCAATTCAACAATCAAACCCTAAGCTTTCAATTCAAATAACTATATTGAAGATGATATAGCAAACAATCATGTATCTGGTTGTCTGAAAATAAAATGAAGAGAAGAAACCTGGTGGCAAGTACTTTATCACCAACATTGAACACCCCATCAATCCTAGTTCAATATTATAATCTTTTTTCCTGTTGACATTTTACATTGTCAGGCTTTGTGCTGTAAACAAAACTCAACATCCAATTCAACCTCCCTTCAATTAAACTTGTATTTTAATTTGACTGTATTGAAGACACGTTATAATCAACGAACAGCTGGCCTGGAACTACATCCCTTTTAGAATTTAGGTACAAAACAACTTTGCTTAAATTCCAGCTCTCGCACCAACTCCAATGCTGCCAACATTCCTAATGCATCTCTGATATCAACTGTAACGTTGTCATTTTATGTTGTACAGGCTGTCTTGGCTCATCCTTTATGTTCGTTTGTCGTGCAGTCCGCCACCCTGTTTGTAAAAAACTCCCACCAATGTATTACATCTGCTGCTCTCTCTGATTTGTTGTCCCAAATTGATGAATTCCTACTCCACAATATCATAAAAAAATTCTCCTTTCCTACTTTGACAGTGAATTTAATATGTGACGGATTTTCTATCCAAATGTTCCTATTTAGCTGCAGCGCATGCTGTGTCTCCACATGCCAAGACTTTGCCAAGTTTGAATACTCTTATTACACAACAGCAACATGTGCTCTGCTGTCTCCAACTCCACTTTACGCCACTGATAATCAATCCCAGCCTACACCCTTTTGTATATCAATCTTAGACAAATTGGTCAACATGGTCTACCAGTAGAGAGGTATTTTGCCTACTGGTAGTTGAGTTCCACATCGAAAAAGAAGTGAAAGGTATTAAGAGATGGAGTCTAACACTAATTGAATCGCTAAATTTCATTCCACATCAGAATAATTTCACAAAATGTGTAAGCATATAAGCTATCACAATGTTGTGAAGAGGACATAATCTTTAGTGTTTTGAGTAAAAGAACTTACTTGAAACGCATGATTTTGAAAATCATTATGAAAGACGGTATCTAGATCTTGAAAAATCATATGCTCGGGTGTACATATCTGCCATCACATAAGACCAAACCACCGATAAATGTGGTTATTTTCCGATTATTCCCAAAACCTTGAGTGTCTAATAGAACACATTCCTGGTGAAGCGTAAAGAGGGCTCCCACAACCTGGACCAAAAGTTTCAACTGAATTGGTACTATACTGACTGGAAAGGGGAAAAAGTACTACACCTGTTGATTATAAACAAAAATAACTAACTTCACATGTTGCTTGAAAATACTAAATTTATTGCTTACTTAACACGGAGATAATACACAATGAATGGTTGAATGTTTAAGAAACTTTTTAGTTTCTTCATCATCCGCATGACAACATCCTGCAATAAAAAAATCAATCATTGCTATGTACATTAATACATGAAAACAAAATTGTACTATTCAATAAGTTCAGGACCAAGAATATCGTTATCTTTTACTAGAAACTCAACTTTTTGAACAGGATGAGCAAATAACAAAATGTGCATCCCATAAAGGGTTTTCGCAATTTAGAAGAACTCTTGTTTGTGCTATAGTTGCACCAGCTAAACAAAGAGATACATGGAGATCACTTGTTATGATGCTATCTTTTCTAGAGTGTGTTTTGAGTCCTTTGACAAAAGGTGATGTGCACATAGTGAGACATTTTCTAATAGCTTCTAAGTCACCATGTAAGAAAATTGTTTCTTCATTGTAGTGACTTTCATTTTCCTTGTTTTGAGAGTTGTGTGGAACAATTTCACCACCTTAATACAGATTGAAAAGTAGAGGGATGTGATAATCGAAATCATTATAGAATAGAACCTAAAATCTATATTCGGACAAAATTGGTTGTAGTTTGTAGATTGCTATAGATCAAAAATGTGTTAGCTTGGATAAACAAACATCACAACAAGTAAAACCTGTCTATTGAAATCATATCCACAAATTCAATTTAAACGTAACAGAAATGAGGCAGGAGATAGATCTAATTTGGGACATAGATATAATTCTCGGACAGTACTATGCACAACAAAATCTAATACCCCCACCAAAAAGAGATGGTTCAAGGGGCTAGGCTCACCAGGTGTTGCGGGCTGGTGGTACAGTGGCATGTGATCCCTCCACTGTCAGGAGTAGGAAGTATTCGCTGCTATGTGAAACCAGCCTCACGCTGTACCCTCCGGTCTAAGACCCACAAGACCCATGCCTTCGCACAAGTCCCATGGGTCAACTCGCAACTTGGAGCGGGCAGGCCAACATAATGCTACCACCAGACCAACCTGTTAAGCCTTAGCCATGTTCCATCACCTTAATGCCCCCACATGGGTCACAAGCTGGCGTTACTCAGCTCGGCAAACTAACTGGCATGTCAAACATTTATAAATACTCCTTTGTGTGATGTTCTAGCCAATGTGGGACTTAAATGGATCCAAAATGGTGTAGTGTTAAGTTAGAACATGTTTTCTTAAATGTTGTGGTTGATGTTATAATACTATATAGAGAGATTATAGGACTGAATTACGCACGACATTTATAGAAGGATTAAATTTATTCAGAAAGGTATACATAAATTAAATACACTTAGCAAAATGATTCAAAACCAATGAAAAAATAGTTAATTGCATACCTGATATAGCTTAGAGTATCAACAAGCAACATTATAATTTGTGAATGCTGCTTCTTCAAATTCTGACATTGTTCCCAAAACAGAATCAAATTTCTCTAATGCTTCCTTGTATTTATTAGCATTCTAGCAGCATTTAATCCAGGAAAATAATAGACATTAAGATTATGAGTAAGATGCCATTAAGATTATCAGTAAGATGTCACAAATAATGATTGTGTAAATAAAACATGAGATACTTTTGAAACTAAAAACAATGTATTGAAATTTCTTGTTGAAAGCATTATACCTGGAGCAATATAACCATGTGTGCCAGCAAACCTTGTAACATCAAAATCAGCAATTTTTGCTTCATAATCTTCATCAAGCAAGATGCTGCTAGATTTTATATAGCTACGAATAACAGGTGGAGAACAATCATGGTGCAAATAGAAAATCCCTTTTGCACCTCCCAATGCAATTTATACCCCTCTGATTCTAATCCCATGCAACCTTCTCATCTTTTATATTTCTATGAAGAGCTTCAAAAAGATTACCATTTGGCATATACTCGAAAACTAAAAGGTTGGTTCCTCATTTAAAAAAAGCAAGCACAGAGTTTAAGTATAGCTTTTTTTTTGCAGCTAAAATCCTCATATCATCACCTTTCTCTTGTTGCTTCACAGCCACTATATCTCATTTTTCGTTAACACGACTCGATAAACCTATCTGGTACCACCATGGCCAACTAAATCATCTTCATGCAAATGACTATTCCATCAGCATCAATATCCGATTTTTTACTTGCTTCCTTTTGACATTTTTGTAACTCATTTGTTCTTTGAATCCTGACGCTTCTAGAGATCAAAACTGCGGCGATGAAGATAACAACAATGACCAAGAGCATTACATATTTATAACCAAAGAGAATTCTTCTATGACCATGATCTTTATCACAAATATTCAAATCAAAATTTATTGAACTTTTTGGAATTTTGTTAACATACGAACCTTTGTTTCCAACAAAAACAACACTGTGGATGTTGAACATTTTGATTAAGTCAAACATAAAGTACACGGTTTTCCTTTTCAAAAAAGAACTTTGAAGTTCATAAATAAAAAAATGTCACTAAATTGGGCCTCGAATTATCTGCTTTGAGCATGATACTAATCTCAAAGTGTATCAAAGTCATATTCAAAATGTTGAGATTAATCATCATTATAATGAATGTGATTATTAGCCATTAGTAAGGACTATAGGTGAAAAGCCATTTAAGTAGGTAAATGAATTATTTGAAAAGCTTAGAATACTTTATCAAAAGTAGGTAAAAATGGATTATTTGAAAAGCTTATAATGCATTATTTGAGATTACTGATATAATGATATCAATAATCTCAAAGTACTATAGTCATAAATATTCAAAGAGGTGATTCTTATCAAAAATATAAATGCAATATCAAACTTCACAATCATAAGCTCATAGAGATTATAAGAAATTACAGTCCCGTGGCATTACATAAATAAGCATCACATAAACGGAAAAGAATCTAACCTGGTGGCAAGTACTTTATCACCAACATTGAACACTCTCGCTTTATCAGCTGACCCACCAGATGCAGTAGCATCAATGCAAGGGTGGTCAATCTCTACCTCATACTCTTCATATGGTTCTTCTTCTCCTTCTTCTTTGGATGCTTCTGACTCAAAATCAGATGAAGCTTTGATCACAAAAAAGGAATGGTTTTGATTTTGAGAAATGGGTATTTGAGTAACAATAAGAAGAAGAAGAAGAAGGGTTTCTTGAAGAGCTCTATGAATTTTGAGAAAATTTCAGAGTCCAAAGAAACAAACCCTAAGCTTTGAATTCAAAAAAGTATGTTGAAGATGATGGATGATACGCTAGTACTACTGATTAGAAAGCAATAGCAAACCTCATACTTTTCATATGGTTCATTTGAAGCTTCTTCTTTGGATGATTCTGTCACAGCATCATATGAAAAAGGGTTTGTTGAAGAAAACTATTTTGGCGGTGGTAACAAAATAAGAGCGACTGAGATCTCCATGACTTTCCTACTTCCTTTACCCGCCAAATTTTTATATTTTTACAATTTTATAATAATCTATAAATTATTTATATCATTTTTTATAACCTAATTATTTTTTTATTTCTATTATCTTTCTTTTATAATAATCCTATTTTGATGAAAACAGAAGATGAAGAGCAGGGAGGCGGAAGACGAAGAGATAGGTTTTTGAAAACATGAAACTGATGGAGTGAGTAAGTGGAAAACAAAAAATTTTATTTGAAAAACACAAAGTGCATTAATAAGTAGTATAAAATATTATATTGACAAAAAAAAAAGGTGTTTTATAACATCATGATAATTAGGGTTAATATTTTAGTACCTCATTTATCTTCAAAAAAGATATATTTGATCAATCAAAAAATGATTTATTTACCCTTAAAAAAAGATATATTGACTAAAAAGATATATTTTCAGACCATGTTGTTTTCTTATATGGTATATTAATGTTTTGTTTTATTATTTACCTCTATGATAATTGTTTGATGATTCTTATCAACTACCTAACTAAGATTAGAAAATGTCACTAAACTCTCTATATTTTTATCTCTATATTTTGTTTAAGAGTTTTCATCTTTTACATATTGTGTTTCTACTAATTTTGACTCTTCTGTTTTCTTCATATTTTTTATTTATATTCAGTTTTCTATGATTTGATCATTTTCTACTATTATAAATTTCTTATATTTTATGAAACTGGGTGAACGGTTGTTTCCGGATATATGTTTCATTAAATTGTCGTCCCAATTTCTAAAACAAGTTCTTCTTTTGATTTAGAAAATTTACATATTTTTTATCTGGCTTATGTAATTCCAATTTATAACTACTCTTTGTTTGTGATGCTATTGTATCTTAAGTTCAATTTCTCCTTTGTTTTGATGTTCATAATGAAATAGTTATACCTAACATGCTATTGCATCATCGCGTGAGGAGAAAATTGCTGAAACAACTTAAGTTACTAATAATTTATGATTTGCTCTTTAATTATTGATTTATGTTTTGTTGTGATTATATAGAGAACTGCATAAAGGTATGTAATTGTGTATTTGTGTTTATGCTCATTGAAATCTAAATTTGTTGATGTTGACAGTTTGCATGAAAATCTTATTTATTTTTTTATTTTATTCAGGGAATATTTTTCAAGTTATTGCATGGTTTTCTATATTCTTTTACATGGGTTCTTTTGTAGGTGGTTCTTGGAGGTAGTCAGGCTTTATCAATTGTTACACTTAATGGTTAAAGTGCTGCAAATTTGAAGTCAAGTTCTATGATAAGTTAGATTTGGGTTTTCTTCTATGGTGGTTGGGAGATTTCATATGTTTTACAAGCAAAGAAACTTACTCTTTTCAAAGAATATAGAAACTTGCCACAACATGTATCAATAATAGAAAGTGGTTATTTGTAGTAATCTGTAATATCATTGTTGTTGTTATGCCACTGTTCAGAGGTGTTAGGTTGAAATTGCGGTTCGGGGCATATCTGCACCGGATGAGAAATCTACCTGCTACGGGTTTTGGCTTTGGACAGGTATTCGGTATTTCTGCGTAACTGAATTTGAATTTAGAGTTGTTGTATAAAAGCTCAGGTCAAGAGGATTTAATGTTAAGCTATGACAAAAATTTTGTTTCTGAGGATTTGGGCGTTCTGCAAGTTCATTTAGATTATGTCGCCAACTGAATTTTTCTAGTGTGTTCGGTGTTCCGCCAGCATATCATCTCAAAATTTTTTCGCGTCGATGTTGTTAGACAACATTTGCTGATCTTTTTTTAATTAGCATTATAATTTAGAAATTAAAAAAATTATTTATAATAAATTTTAAAAAATAAAGTTAAATTAAAAAATTATTTATAATAAATTTTAAAAAAATAAAGTTAAAGAAATTAAATTTTCAAATAATAAAGATATTTTTATAAACGAAAAAAAAATGTATTATTGATAATAATATTTTTATGTATACTACTAATAACAAAGACATATTACAATATTATTATAATTTCATTTATAAGCTATAAGTAGTTATAAAATATATTTTTAATATCAGAACTTTTGTATAGGCACGAGTATACAAACCTTTTATATTAATGTAGTAGTGATTGAATAACTTTATTAATTATTCAAGTAATAATGGACACTAGACTATATAGAGTAAATTGCTATATTTTATTTGTTTTATTTAATAGTGTAATAGGGATAAAAAGAACTAGTATTCTATGAATAAATTTGAACTAATTTAAATAAAATTTAAGGTTAAATATATATGGTATCCCTATCATTATAACGAGTTTTAATTTCAAAATATAAGAATTTTTTGTGATTTCCCTTTACAAGATTTCGATTTTATCTCTAAAGACCATATTGTTACTATTGCGTTGACGGTGTAAAGGAATCTTCCTACGTCACGCTCAATATATTGTTAACCGTATATTAAATTTTATATTTAATTTTTAATTTATTAATTAACATCCATGTAGTTTTTTTTTTTACTTTTTACTTTTTCTTTTTTATGTTCTTTAATTTTCTTTTTTACTTTTATTTATTATTTTTAAATAAACCAGAATATGATAATTTTGGTGGATTTTTTCTTGAATATTTTTTATTTATTAATTATTAAAATATTAGATTGGGCTTAAAAATCATATTGATAGCAGCCCAATAGCTGAAGTTTCTAAAGTCCATTCTCTTATTAAGAAAAGCCCAACACTCAAACATTTGAAAAGTGATGTAAAACTGATATTTATAAACACTTTTAATTTATGTTAAACTTTTGATGTGAGACTCCTTTATATCATTTTAACATGGTTTTCATATCAAACACATAGCCATTTCCATTGATGATCCTTCTTGAAATGAAACCCAGAACAGTAGTGGTAAGCATGATAAGCATGTTTCAAATATTTAAGTGAAAGAGAAACAAACTCAATAACATTAATTTCATTTTATAGAAACTGAAGCAACATGTAGAAATGTATAAATGTATGTAATAAATTGTGAGAATTGTACCATAGAAATGCATGTAATAGGTATGACTTCGTCGGCTTCTAAAACATCAATGATTAAATCTATGGAAATGGTAGCATCGATATCCTGATCAGACACTTCTATAAGCGGTGGAGAAACTAAAGTGGTTATATTATAAACTAAAGTTGAAAAAAACTATTCTAAACAATATTGAGTTTTAAGTCACAAATACACTAATTCAAATAGTAGAATACATAACAAGAAAAAATCAACCCAAGAAAAGTTCATCATAAATCAATGATGCAAATTGTGAGAGAAGAAAAGAAATCACAAATACACCAATCCTTGTTGCTTATCTTCTATATCTAGCAGAAGGTTCAACTTTCATAAGGTATCTTGAGTGGAGGGATCCTCAGCATTAGTATCTTTGGTAGGTGCCTCTATCCCAGCAGGCTCACCTTCTTTCTCTTTGCCTCTAGTGTTGGTACTAGACTTGTCATTGGTTATGCGGACGAGAGTCATTGTAGTAGTGGGTGGTGAAATATCAGGGGATAAGATCCTCCATGTTCTTGTCACTTTACTAGAACCTGCAATATTGGTGACATCAACTTCATCTTTGTTGATCCAAGAATCTTGTTTTAACCTATGATAATAAACCTCGGCACCATAGTTCCATGGAACTGCTTTGTCAGAGGAGTAGGGGATAGGCCCAACGGTGTTAGCTCTTAAATTCGACATCCATACACATTGGCTTTATTAGCTAAAAATAAACTGAAGAAATCTAAGATATTGAAGAAGTCTAAATTAAGAACCCATCGATTTGGAAACATAGTCTAATTTGAAGATACTTCGAATTGAGAGCCTTTGAAAAGGCCCATCGCAATCATCCTTGTTAAGAAGGAAAAAACACTTAGAGAATTCTCTAAGTTAGAAAGGGTCTTCGACCCAGAGGCTTCGATTTTGTAAGAGCCTTCGACCTGGAAGTGTTCGTATTAACAACAATTTAAATTCGAATTTGAATATAAGAGGGAAAGGCAGTTCACTTGGTAGTTGAAGAAAGCAACGTGGCATGAAATTGAAGATCAAAGAACATACAAAGGACACTCGTCCTGATCCTGGATCGAAGTAATCGTCTAGCAGTCACTTTTTACTAGTATAAATATAGGAAGTTTATGTAAATTTTCCGTGTGTTCAACCAATTATACAAGTCACTCAATACTATTCGAGTACCCGCTGTGTGAGAAAGAATACTGAGAATGTACGTTTGAAACACCACATTTTATAATCAAAGTCTTTTACATTCCTTGTCGTTCCTGCTTACAGCCTTTTATCTTACTTGCAAATTTTATTTTCCCTTGCGTTTTACTTGCACTTTTACCTGATTTCTACTCTTCTCAACCCCTTTCTACTTACTTTTACTTGCACTTTTATCAAGTTTCCGTCTGCCTCTAACCTCCACCTTTCTCAGTCAAACGTGTTCTTTATTAGAATTAGCATTTTTATCAAAACAACACAAATATTTAGCATATGTCCTAAGATCAATTTGATCGATCCTACAAGTAACCAAAAATCACTCTTTTTGGAATATCAGCGGTTGTTTACCAATTTTCACGGTAAACAAATTGGCACACCTGGTGGGACGTTGCTAATTTATGTTTGCTTGTTTATATTAACATAAATGCTTTACATAATTTCTTTTCTTTTACAAAGTGTTGTATGTTATTAAGATGTGGTAAATTAACCACCAACGAGTGTACAACTAGGAGAAGAAATAGTGAAATGGCTAATCAGCCAAATAATGGAGAAATACCTCCATCAATTATTGCAAAAACAACGGTTATACCAACCGTTAGTGAAACTATCCCATTAACCGTTGGTTCAGCACCAACGTTGACAGTAGCACAAACGGGAT